CTCTTTCCCACCCAAACACACAAGCTATTTGTCACGCTAACAAGTTTAGCTCTGATACTGCATTCTCCTTTGTAGAATGCACTGATCCTTAGTTCCTCCTAAACAGGAAAAATATTCCCATTACTCCAATAATTTGGAAAATACGTCTTTAATCTCGGCTCCGCTGGGGCATCTTGGGTTCAGAGGGTAAAAATGCTTGCACGAGGGGGAAGAGGTCCCTGACTGGGTCTTTGAAGGCAGCAAAATTTTTTATCCAGCTCTTTGCTGTAGGATCCCTGAGGCATGCTCTAATCCACAGCAGAAAAATGTGCAGAGCAGCATAATTTTATTTCCTTAGCATGTCAAGAAGGTGGGTAACCAGTGCCACGGCTGACTGGGGTCTCCAAACAAAATACAGACCCAATGGAGTTAAGGGAAAATTCATGAAATGCGATGAGCTAAAATGATGGGACCGATAGATATCAAATTGCTTCTTGCAGAGGAAATTCAGCTGCCTCTTACAGAAGTGGAGCCTATGATAAAACAAGCTATAAGTCTGTGTAACAGGAAAAAAATTGGTAATTTGCTCCATACAATTAACCCTGAGGCCTGCAAAACAAACACATCTTCATTTAAATGGATTGTCTCGCAAATGGTTATCTTTCTACCCTTTGTAACAGTGCCCTCAAAAATCAAGTAGACGGATTGCCAGTGACCGCAGGTTACAGCACAATGTTGTCAGTATAGTTGATCTAGTATTGCTTTCTAGAGAAGGAGAGAAAACTGCCTGAACAAGGTTTTTTATTGTTATTATGATTTTATTTGCATAAGGTGATTTAAAATTCATTGTCATTAGATCAGCCCAAGATCAGTTTTTTCTTCCAATTTTCCAGTTTGGGTGTAAAAACAGGGGGGAAAATAAATTATTAGTATGATTTTAATGAAAACTTAGTTTTCTTACAAAAAGTAAACCTTAAAGCATTCTGAAACTGACACTATGGAGTCCTACTGTTACATATGAGAAGTGGCAATCAGCCATCTTCTTACAGCAAGGAGCTCTACTGACTTTACCTGTGTGAATGATGTTGTTACAACTTTTTCCCCTCCAGTTAGTTTCGCAGAAACTACAGAGCTTAGTCTGCATTCTAAAAATTCATTTGGTTTAGATAATAAAAGCTGAACTATACTTCAACAGTAGAAGGAACACTCAGAATTTGGTATCGCTCATTTTCACATTTAACTCCGAAAAGTAATTTCTGAAACATATAAGGAACTGCTGCTGAAATTGTTATGTACCCCAGAATGGAGACACTCAGTACTAAAGGCAGAAGAAACATGTGCCAAAGAATCAGCTGCACTGCACTTCAAGGCAAAATATGGCAAGAGTATGCAGTATTTATTGCAAAGCAAGAAAGTGATTCTATCTAACAGCAAATGGGTTAGTCAAGCAGAATTCTGTTTGTAGGTAGACAGACAGATTAACAGCACGATAATACTCCTGCAAAGACATCTGCATAATTTGCAACTACGAAAAACTACATTTTATGAGTTTCTGCACATGACTATCCTCCCTATAACTAAGAAATGAAGATATTACCAGATTTATACTAATAAATTTGTGGAAGCCCCATCCCTGGAAGTATTCGAGGCCAGGCTGGATGAGGCTTTGAGCAACCTGGTGTAGTGGAGGGTGTCCCTGCCCATGGCAGGGGGGTTGGAACTAGATGATCTTTGAGGTCCCTTTCAACCCAAACCATTCTATGATTCCATAATTCAAAATTATTCCCATCATAATAAAATACTGAAACTTCCTTGTTTGCCCTATTACCTAGCTAAAATATGACTTTGAGGCTGCCAGTCATTGCCAAGATGTTGTTATCCCAAAATGAAAGATTGAGTTATTTTAGTTTTGTTTTACAATCTCAATGAATAAAATATATTAGGCTAGAGTTTTGCAGCAGTGTAACTGGATTACTAATGGACATGAGCATGCTTCCTCTGTCATTAATTAAGTTCTCATTTCAGATCTGACTTCTTTAGCACAAAACTATCGCTAACAAAAGTAGTATTGAATTATTGCTAAGACATGTATTCATGCAATTAGGAAACTCCTTCTGGAGTTGGAGACATCTTATTAAATAACAGAATTAATGTAAATGCCAAATGACGATATTTGAAAAAACAGTGGCATGCTTTTGATACTCCGTTTAGGGAATTATGAAACAGGAGATCTAGCAAAAGAAAGGGCTTGATTGTGACACAGGTATGGTATTTTTAGTTAGATTTTGTTTACAATACTTCATAATATCACATAAGGGAGGAATTTTCTATTTTTCTATTGCTAATGTAAAATTAAAGGCATCTTAGCATAGCACCATAGTGTTGCTGAGGCGAGATCTACCTTGGCGAGAGCTCTTGTATTGAAAAATTGGTTCTTTACTAATCTTACAAGAAAAACATGTAATTATTAGCAACAATGGAAAAACCTAGTAAATAAGCAGCTTGGAAAAACCTCATACTTCTTTACAATATTATAATATTATAATTGCTTTGCAAAACGTTTAAAAACTTTTCTCTTGATTATTTTTATTCACTATTCAAGAAGTACGTTTTCAAGCCATTTAGTGTAGCTAGCATACATCTTTCTGCATGAAATAAATATGAAATTTTCTTGTGTGCTGCTTTTAAGGGCATGGATGACTGAGCTATGTCTCTTCCTTGCAGTGCTCCTTGCATCTGGTCTTCCTTCTGTTTAAAGCCCTTCTTCTACTGTGAGCCTCTTCCCGCAACAGACTTCATAAGATTATTTTCAAACTCCATGATCAATGTTTCCCAAACATTTATCACAACCAGGAACACTGAGAAATTGTAGAAAAAGCAGTGTCAGCAGTAGCAAAGTTCCTCAAGGACAGGAGCAGCAGCTGTAATCACTAGCTAGAAGGGTTTACTCTGGTCAGAGAACAGCTAACGACCTTTAATTGGTGTCAGGAGCTCAATCCACACTCTAAAGTAGGTGAGGAGAGGATGGGTATGGAGAGGAAGCTCATGTTTACAGCTGCAGCTGGTTGTTACAGCTGGTTCCTGTTCCTTCGTCCTGGCAGGACTGAACTGCAGCTGCAGGGAATCACACAAAGACAGATGACCCCCTAAAAGAAAATTACCTCTTCAAAAAGAAAAATAAACATGATGATTTGAGAGGGTGATGTGAAAAGTTTCTCTGCCACCTGCTTTTTGCCAAAAGGATGCTAGTCAGCATCTAGTGAAGGGAGCTGGTCCCTAGACACTCAAGAATTCCATTCCTTGAACAGGCTCTTGTAGTATCATTTGAAAGACAGCATCTTACGTATTCACAAGCGGCTTTGATGGGATTTGTTGTTTGCACAGAATGAAGGCCTCTGTATCCTTCAAATTCATCTGGACTAATTTTCAACACTACACAAACTTAAGCACAGAAACAGCTTGCACTTATAAAGACGGTTCTTTCCTCAGAGTCTGGAAGGTGAACCCCAGCCATCAGGACAGAGGGAACAACTTAACTCATTAAGCACTGTCCTTCAGAGCTGGCTGTTTCAAGGCTGACAGCTGATGTTCCCTCCTTTGTTTGAGAAGAAATTTCTCCTTCTGTGTTTTCTACCCTGACTTTATACTCAAACATCTCTAGCTCAACTACTTCTCTACTAGTTGTAATACTCTGATGTTTTCAAAAGTTATAGAAATCACGCATTGTAAGAAGTGTTTACTGAAGTTATAAAACCAAGTCCTTTTCTCTTAGCTGTTATGGAGCTTGATAACACAGAAGATAACGCAAATACCAGATTTATCATTTAGATGCCAAGATCGCCCTTTAACGCATATTTCGTGAATTTTAAAGGATTTTGAAATCTAGGAGAGATGGAGCTTTCTTTTCTGATAGCCATTTTACTAAACTATATTAAGGATGGACATGAAATGTTCTGAATAGGACAGTTCTCTACAATGGCCAAGAAGACAAACCCATCAGAAAATTGAAACAAAAATTTACTATAAATGTAAGTTAATAATTACATTATTGAGATAATAATGGTAGGTCCTTATTTGATTATTCATTCAAATTCACCTTTTCCAAAGTTTGTGTTTTCTTCTTGAAAAGATCTCTCAATGTTAACTACTGTAAACATTTCCACTTTATAAAGAAGAGTTATATCTGAAGAAGTGATGCCAGAATGAAATCCTATCTTATCTGAAGTTTAATGGGAGAGTATACTGCCATTATTGCTCTAGCATATCGCACTATTAAATTGCCATTATTTAGGAAGGATTATATAAGTATTAAAAAAAAAAAGGCAAAAATATGTTATGCTTAGTTTCACCAGTACTGGAGGGAAAATAATCACTGCAAGGGAAGAGAACTGATTAAAAAGAAATGTGGTTATTCTACATGATACGACAGGAATCAAAATAATGATTCGTCTATTGTTGGACTAAAGTAATTTTTTTTTATAAAGAAAATAGACAGATGATATTAAGTGTAACTCCATTCAAATACAACAAAGATTCCTGATTTTCCAGAGTTTATCTTTCATTTCAGCCAAGAAATAACTTATCATGTACCTGATCTTGACAAAGAGAAGGTCTATTGATAAAATTATGTTTTGCTAAGTTTCAAGGTACTGGTGTAAGTAAAATAATGTAGGCAAATTCTATATAGTTTAAGTCAACTGCAGTCTATTAGAATTACAATGATCACTGCTGTTCACTACTTCTAGCAGTCACCAGATGAAACTGTTTTCACCATTAAAAGAAAACAAGAAAGCAACTCCACTCCTGCCCACAGCTCCATCTCCATATATAGGCTTATCAAGAACACAGCAGAAGAATATAGGATTTTTTTCTTACCTCAATTTTTTCCCATATGCTTTCATAATTCTCTTGATGTTGTATATCTTGCATTAGTTGATGAATTAAAGCTGATTTGTTTGAGGCAGAAGTCTCATTCTCAGTGGGCTGAGTGACAGCAGTCCTTTCTGACTTTTCCTCAACGTATTTTTTAATGCAAGATACAGGCATACAAAGATCTTCATCAGAAGGAATATCACTGAGAGGCCCAGATTCAATACTGTCACCTAAGGAGGATACTATATCACTTGAAGAGCTTGGTGAAATTCTACCCATTTTTTTGTGCTTTTTTGTCTGGTACGTTGGATACATTTCTGAATCTGAGTTCATTTCTGACAGCTCCCAGTCATCAATGTTTTGAATAGTTTCTCTTCTGGGCTTTTGGGGCAGTAACTTTGTCAAATTTTCTAGTTTTAAAGCTAATACTTCAGTCTGTTTGAGATGTGAAGGAAGTGCTAAATATTCGTCAGATCCATACCAGACCTCACCATCTTTACTATTTTTTTGAGTATAGCTTGGTGTTGAGGAGAAGTTTTTATTATTCTTTCTTCTCAGTAGAAGTGGTGATGAGTTGGTAAACTCAGAAGCAGCTGAGGAAGCACTTTTTTGGCTACATGTTGGTGAACTAAAAGGCTCGATTTTAACTTGTGATTGCCCATTTGGGTCTCTCTGGTTACAAGAATCTGATGATGCAGAAGAATCTGTTTCTGTCTCCTCCAGAGACTGACAGTTATGAGAAGTAATTCCATTTTGTAGAGAAGAATGTCCTCTTTTTTTGGCTTGTACTGGTGGAACCATTTTAGACACACCTCCAGGTGTTCCGCCAGTTTTCAATTTCTCTGGACCGTCATGAGCCTTCTTGTGCTTTGATTTTTCTTTACAGGTGTAGAAAGTAGACTTCCCTAGACTTATGGGACTGTCCTTAAAGCGATTATTTATTGTGTACTCAATATTTCTATCACCTATTTTATTCAAGCAATCGTATGACTGACTAACTGCAGATGGACTGTTATTGTAGGGTGACTGTAAAGCTAGGCAAAGCTTGGACCTGTCTGGTGGATCTAACAATGAAGGTGTACTTCTACTCATTTCATTTTTAACTATCTGGGAGATTTGCCTTTTTAAATCATTGGCTTCCATATAATCTTTAAACACATCATCTTTCAGAAATAGACCTCTTTTTGGCAATGTAGGCTGAGTAGGGGAGTCTTCATTATAGTTAAAGCAGTCTCTTATGGATCTCTTAGGAGTTGAGTTTTCACAGTGAGTGTGTTTGATTTTTTCACTGGTGTGCTGTGGTAGATTGCATTCTGTTTTTTTTAATGTGGAAACTGGTTTGCTGTCAGTAGGTAAAACACCATCTTCAGAGCAAGGTCCTTTGGAAAGAGAGGAGTTGGGAGAAGAAGATGCTAGTGAGAGCTCATGTGGTGTTTTCCTGTCTTTGCTTTCTTCTCCATCTTCTGCTGAAAGAGGTACATAGGTTTCTTTCTCATTTAATGCTTCATTACACTGGGAAGCAATGGAATCAGTTGCTACTGCAAGTAAACCCACACTTCTGATAAGTCCTGGAAAGTCCTTTTCCATCTCACTGTAATTCCAGGATTCAAATGATTTCACTTTCCCTTGACTGGAGGTCATATCATCCAGAGCACCAAGCAAATCCTCACTAGGACTGTAGTCAGATAGTTCAAATGCAGTAATACCACAATCCAGCGACAAGTAATTTTGAGAACATTTGATGGTTAACTGTCCAGAATCATCAACTTCAGTTAAAGAGTCAAGACGGTCCTGAAATAGACAAAAAATGGTACTTTTTTAGAAGGTTAATTTTCTTATGCAGCGCACATTAAGTAACCAACTATCAGCCTCTGTGTTTCACTTGCTCAACATCTAGAAAAACATTCATCACTGACCTGCCTGTTTTTGCAGTACCCTGTAGGTGAGCAAACCATTCTAAAGTATTTGGGGATTAAAAATGGCAGTAAACTGAAAAATGCTTAGTTTCAGTCTGGTGCAGCAAGTTACCTAAAACCAGCAGCTCATTTCTGTATTGGCATTCTCCTCCTTAAATTCTACTCTCAGTTCTACTGACTCTGTAGGGGGGGATACAACAGTCTCGTAGTATTTCCTGTGTTAACTACCTCAACAGGAGGGAAGAGATTTGGAGCCTGCTGAATATATCAGCCACCTTGTTAATCTTGTGTTCTCAGAAATCCATGCTGCTCTACGATCTTTCAGTTGATTGCCAGCATGTTTTTTCTCAGCATCATCTAGGAATGACAGACATTTTTTCCCATATTTATGAGATAGAGGTTGCTCACTACATTTCATTTTTTTTTTTTTGTAGCATTATCAACTGAGTATTTATATGCTGAATATTTGGAGCACAAATGGAGGACAACTCAAGGAAAAGAAACTATATGAGAATCCTAAACCTCCAGCCTTCAATGTCCCTTGTCAGCATCTTCTCAATGAAAGTCTTTCAGTCCCAGAAACATAGATAAAGCCAGAGCAGACCATATGAGGTCATCTCAAATTAATGTTTATAAATTTTTTGGTGACTTATTTGAAGGACACTAAAATAATCTGACTACATTAAGATCCAAAAGCAGACTGATACATAACAATCACAGCAAAATTATGTTTAGTTAACAGTTTATAAGCATATTTTTAGGAGGTGATTTAATGTTGTAACACCTAGGCGGGCCTCAACTATTTCCAGTTCCCCGCATGTAATTTTAAACCTTGACATAGGATCAAATAATTCTGAAACAATTTCTGTTCCTAGTTACACTGGTGTACATCTTAAGTAATTCCAAGAAACTATCTAGAACAAGAGAAACTGGCAGAACATGCCGATTGGACAAAAGAAACTGAAAAGCAGAATTAGAAAAGCCAACAGTAGCCCAAGTGCTTACAGAAACTACTTTAAAAACATCATAAAGGGCAGAAACTCATGTTTTAGGAGTCTAACTTTAGGTGCCTAAATCACAATACTGGTCCTTCTACTCAGATTTGGTTTTCATAATAGAGTTTTTTAAAACAAATTCTTGAGTATCTACAAAAGGGTCATGTCTAAATTATTCTCTGGTGCAGCTTGTCTCACTACACTGCCTAAACCCCTAGTTTAAAGACCTTAGGCATCATGCCTGAAGAAGGTGCAATAGCCTCACAATCTCTTCATCTCACAATAAACCACTTGGATTTTGGTTTGAACAAGAATAGCCTCAATAAGTAAGGCTATTGTTTGCCATCTTCTATAAACATATAATGTTTGAGCCCTGTACTCTCTCTGCCTCACTTGCTTTACTCAAAGTAAAAATATAAAAGATCTTCAAGCTAAAAATATTATTTATAGAAAAGATCAACCAGAGAGTTATTTATCAACAATAATCTTGAACATTGAAAATATCATTTATTTAGCACATTCTATCCAGATGTAAAACCTATGCCACAAATTGTATATTGTCAATAGTCCAGAATGAAGAGGGGAAGTTTCTATAAATCTGTCAAATTTGTATTTTGGAGCTGCATTTATTAAGGAAAATAATGACTAAACAATGATCAGTATTACAGCTGCATTTTCCCTCTAATCTCAGGAAAAGATTAGAAACTGTAAAACCATATATAAATCAAAACCCTTTCCAAGACCCTGAGGGCCTTCATTTCTCCTGAGTAATGAGAACCATTCCTTCGTCTCTTAAAAATGTGTTTATTAACATTTATAAAATTTACAATCATATGCATTAAACCATCTTGCTTGGTCATTTTCCAAGCAGCCTCTTAAATGAGTACTTCAGAGGAGCCTTATTTAATGCCAATATTACCATGTTTTTATTATTGTTTTGATTTCAGAAAAATATTACATTTAGTTATTTGCATGGCTGCCAATAGGAATGCTTTAATTCAAAAAATTCGTCCCTTTTCACATAGCAATGTTTCCTGTAAAGCTCTGCAGGGTGTTTCCAGTACCTTCTTGCGTTTATATTTAAACCAGTACAATTCTGCATTTTTTTTTACTCTTTCAAATGAGCTAATTTTATTTGCAAGATATTTCTTTCATGACTTTACCATCTGTTTGAGAACATCAGGATTCACTGTATTTAGCATAGCCTTATACTGATCCTTTCCATATTTCCTGGCTTTATCAATTGTGGAATAGAAGTCGCAGGTTAGATTCAGCTAGACTGAACTCAGGCTGCATAGAACTCATTTTTCTTTCCTTCTTATCCATCGCGGGGTAATTTCTGAAGGAGAAATGGTCCTTCAAAATCTTGCCTTTCTAAATTCTTTTATTAAAAAAAAGTGTTTTCTTAATTTGGCGTCTCCATCACGGCAGGCAACTTACCTCACTGGTTCCTCTATTTCCTCCAAGCCATGAAAGTTTTTGTGCCCTTTCCTGCTGGCACATTATTCACTATGGCACTGGTGAGACAGCCAAAAGCACAGTTACTGCCTGCCCAGTTAACAAGCTGGGTTCCCAACTAGGCTGGTACAGCCCGTGCTACTCACTTTGATGCTTTGGTAGCTACTTCATCTGTGTTATCCCTGTTCATTATGTTGAGGCTAGCTCGTGCACATGAATGTGTGTTACAGCTACAGTGTAAATATGGGCCAGACGGGGCTGTTGTGCCATGATTGACTGTGCAGTCTATGAACTGAGAGAGCAGTGAATATTAAAAAGATGAGACTGTCTCACTGAACATGGAAGAAATCTTGGTAACTTGGTAACTTCTTCCATGGAGTTCCTCAGTTGATATTGGCAGCCAAAGCCACTCTTCACCATTACACAGAAGACAGCTGACTTAAGGAGAGAGCTGAAGGTTTTGTAAAATGATAGGTTCATGGACTACACAAAAACATAACAGTTGCTGTACTGGTTCAGATTAAATTTCCACCTAGCCCGTTATCCTATCTCCGCATCAGTTCTAAACATTTTCTTCTAGCTGAGCTGTAAGACATGGGTGCATGTACATGGCCCTTCCACACACACCATTTCTACTCATACTCGTAGCTTCTACCAATGAGTAACATAGGGACTTCTTTATCTGGAGGTTATAATTCCTCCCATCTTTGTTTAGTTTTCACATTTATTTTTTGAACTTCTTTACACTTCTAAGTGTCCTACTGTAACAAATTCCAAAATAAAAGTCTTTGTTGTATTTGAAAGTTTGCTTCTATTCATTTCAAACCAGACGAATTCTCAGTCTTAGGAGAAAAAAGTAAGATGTCGTTCCCAGGTCATATTCTCCAAGGAGTATTGAAAATTAGGAGAATGAAGAGTAGATATAATTGTCTCTACATTACATTTTATTTATTTATATATTCTCATCAAATTAAGCCACTACCATTATGCTCAATGAAAAGCTTGAATAAATACCTGAAGGTTAACAACTGCAGAGCAATTTCTGGGAACCTATTCAAGCTATAGAGGAGAAACTTAATATTAATATTGTGTCCCTGCTATTGCTAGCCATTAATTTTATCAAATATTATTTATGCTGTAGTTGGAGTGGAAAAAAAGATTCATGTCAGGATATTTTGTCTCTTTTATTACCATACAAGCCTATCTGGCAACATGTTTTTTCCCCACTGAAAAATAATCTATCCTTCTTCAGTCAGTCCTCCACTGTATTGGAGAGATGTTTTTTATAGCAGTTGTAATCAGATCCAGATGGAACATTTCCTGTTTCTTAGTATCTGAATCTGCCCCTTCCTTATTTCTTCAAGTCACCACATTCATGTCATAAAATAATGATTTCACCCTAATTCACCATGCTGGATATTCAGACAAGCGTGGATTTCCTTCAGACTTGCCAGGGAAGGTTTACCAGCAACAGCAAAGCAGAAACTGAATCTGAAGCACCAGGAATCTATATACCAGGAAGAGGGGGTGTGGAAGGTGGGCCTGGGCATATCTGAGTTTTGATTTCAGGACCACCCACTCTGTTGTGCCAAAGACAAATATAAAATCCAACAGGGAGCAGAGAAATACACACATTCTCTTTAAAACTGAATGATCTGAAATTCAGGACATGTTTAGAGGGTTTCTGAATTCCTCTGTAACACAACGTCGCAGAACATCACTGCATTGATCTAGAGGTCTCTTTCTGTAAATTTATCTAATCCTAACAAAAACATTTTATCTTAATCTTAGGACTTTCAGCAAATGAAGAATTCTCCAAACACTACGATATATTCTAGTAACCATTAGTTACCCTAACTATTAAAAATGTGCATCTTTTTTTCAGTTTTAAAAATTGGGCCAGTAGTGTCCTTCTATCTAAGCCAACTTAGTAATGAAGAATTTAAAGGAAAAGGCATTTTAATCAAATGAATTTAGATTTACAAAGCATTTACACATGTGTGAATTTTACACCTCGTTAGAGTAAAAATGTGCATCATTGTTTCTCAAACAAAATCTGTGACTGTTTAGAGGCATGTTGCAGAATGGCCATTCAAACAAATTAAAGTCCATGCTCTCTGCTTGAAAGCAATATTCCTCTAGTCTCAAAAGTTTTGGGAAACATTGTGTAAGCTTCAAGTTTGTGTATGCAAGAAGGAAAATGTCTAAGCTTTTCATTAAAGAATTTATTGCACATAAATTGAGTTTTGAATTGGATATGAACCTTAAATTCTCGAGTAACCAGATCAAGGAATTTGGACCAGATGCACCTCTGTAAGTGTTCCTAATCCTTTATGAAAATATATTTCAATCAGTAGAAAACTTTGCTAGACACTAGCATGACACTTCTGAAAGTTGACCTTAATTTACTTTAATTTGGTTCAATGAGACCAAGTATCAGCTGAAGACATTTAAAAATCAAAATTAGCCAAATATCTAGAAGACAAGTACATCATTCTTAAAATTGTCATCCTAGCAATTTTAAATGTGCAACAGGGATGACTTGCTTCAAATACAGATGAAATTCTCAAAATCAAGTTTAGTTACTATACCTCCTTAGTCTCTTCAGAAAATGCTTGCAGAATATCAGTCTGCCTGGTGTAGTTTCCATTGGCGTCTTGTAGTCCCTGGAGAATACGCTCTCTCAGAACCAGAACAGAAACACGTAGCTGGTGCCAGAGTAGTTGTACTGTATGGATATCAACTATCACATTGACAGAGTAAGACAGAAGCTTCAGGGAAAACTCAGTCTCTAGTAGAGCATGAATTTGTTCAACATGGTCAGATATATCTTCACAAATATCCTGCAATGGAAAAATAAAGTAGATATTGAGTTACAAGCATGGTCCTTTCATGGTTCAGCTCTACTTTTTATGTATTTTTTTATTAAATGCAGAATAGATTATTTCAGAGAGGAAAGATAATGTAATTAATACATCCAGGGTTGTCTTTTTTTTTTTTTTAACTTTTTTTTTATTTATTTATGGCAATGCTACAGCAACTGAACCAGCAGCTGTCCTGTTTGGCAGGACTGCTCAGTAAGTGCAGAGACAGCATACAATAAAGAAGGATGGCACAACAAGATCACATGAATCAGAAGTAGAAAACTAACACTGTAAAGTGACATCCTAGAAGACAGCAATAGGAATGAAAGTGACAAGATTGCCACAAGCAGTCTCCCTCTCTCCTTCCCTCCCACCCCCCCAGTTAAAATGCAAAGAATCTGATCTGTGCCATCATCAACAAAATTCTTTTGGATAGAATTTGCCTTTTAATCTAGCCTCTATAGCCAAGCAGGGCAAAAGTCTGGGATAAACTCAACGTGGATAAGCTGTTTCCAAGATCCATTGCTGACTGTTGTGATGAGAGGGTGCTAACTTTTACACAGTCTTGTTCTGGACTTGAAAATTGAACAGAAGATAATGGGTGGAAAAGGAGAAAGAAGGAAAGTAGAGAAACTGTGAACAGCTGTGTTGAAAAAGCAGAAAAGAAACTATCAGTTACCAGGTTACAAAACTAAGGTTGTGATGGGATGGTATCCGCCAAATTTAACAATTAATGTTCTAGGTTTCTAAATTGTGCTGCATACACCGCATACAATTACTGTATACGCATACAATGCTGCATACATATGCATACAATTACTGCATACAGTAATTTTTATCAGTTCAGATTTGACATCTTCAGTTTGAAAGTAAAGCCATAATATTGACTATGTAATTGCATGTATTTAACAAATTAACCAAAATCAAATCCTTAGATAATATTAGATAATTTTGCTATAATAGATAGCACAATATTAGCCCTTGAGAAACTATTATTATGGTTGAGTACTATAAGTAGTTACTTATTTTAATAAATCACTGACAGCTAAATCAAGTCCTCTGCAGGAGTAGCTCTAAAAATGCCAGAGATGAGAACAAAACGTTGGAGTTTCAACAAGCAGAGTTTTGGGGCCGCCTTGGGAGAGAAGCAGTATCTCTTCACCTTTATCCTCAGTCCCCTTGTTGTGACAACCAGCATCTATGTTTGCAAGTACAAAACACACAGCCTCGCCTGGCAGCACACAGGGCTGCAAGTGCTCAGGGCTTCAAATGTCCACACACTTCCAGATGAGAAATGGATGCTCTAGTTACCAGATTAGTGTGCTAATCTAATTCTACAGACACACAGACAAAGCTAAAAGTCTCGGCCAAACCTTTTCCAAGCTTGTCCATTTATCCAACTACAACTGAAACTTGACTGAAAAGCACAGTTGAATTTCTATGTTGTTTCAAATGTTTTAAAGAATATGTTTAGTAAATTAGTTTGACTGAATTTGCATTCCCTTCTCCGATGTTATATATAACATGTGTTATATATATAAATACATGTGTTTTTCCTCTTGGCCATAAAGAAGTTTAATTTTAATTTCAGGGATTAAAAAATAAGTTGTTGCCCAGTAACTATAACTTTGTAAATTAGACTCAATGTATAAAAAAATACTTCGTATATATTCAGTTAGACTACTCGTGAATGAGCTTAAATTTGTGTCGACCTGCAAAACAAATTTTCATTATTTTCCAGCTTCATACACAGTTACATGCTGAATTCAACTGCCATAAGAATTCTCAGAGAGGTTGAAAACACAAAACCTTAAGAAGAAAGTATTAACAATGAGCAAGTGTCTCCTGACAATTGTTAGATAATATACTGAAAATATTGGCTAATGAATCTAGCTAAAACTCTAAATCAAGAATTCAGACCCACAGTTCAAAGAAGTTTTGTCTTGAGCTACCATTACGTTATCTATCAAAGCATCTCAAATTTCTTAAACAGACAAACTTTCCACAACACAGAAAATTTGGAACCAAAATGGAAATCTCAGCACCACTGGAGGTTTGAAAGAAGCATGTATTCAAGGACATATGCTGCTAATTTTTACATGGCTTCTTACAAGTTGTTCATTTTCATCAAAAAACAAATTCTGAAGTGCTTACAGACTGCTGAAAGTACAGCAGCAGTCAAACACTTTATCTACTAACAAGATAACTGACCGCTCTTGACAGTTTCAGCAATAAGGAGAAAAGCTAAGGCTGACCTTGTTCGTATCCAAGTGAAGGTCGTGTACTCTGATCTCCACATATAAGACTACCTTCTCAGTCAGAGACAAACAAAGTACTAGCTCTTCAAGGATTTAGGTTTTAGAAAGAGTGGGTGGCCAAAAGACAGGAAGTTATTTGCTGAGCGACTGAATTAGCCAGGAAGGAAATTAAGTCCCTATGTACCTTTTCATAATACATAAACTCCGAGCTCTATTTTCTGACTTCATCATCAGCTCCCTCTCCCTTCTGGCCTGGAATTAGTATAGCACTGCACTGTCACTGCAGTCTTGTCTTTACTTTCATGGGAGAATAGAAAGATTTTTTTTTCCTTTTCTGATAAATATGTTCACATGACATCATCTTTAGGGATGTTGGATTTATTTTTCTTCTCTTCCTGTTAGATGAAAATCTGATTGAACTGCTTAGAAAGTCTGATTGAATTTGCAACAGGGCCAGGCATAGATTTAAAGTGATTTGACTCCCCTATTCCAACTATTCAATGTCTAGAAGTCCTGAACAAACATCTACAGTGCATCCACAAGTTCAGTGTGTCCAGTTCAATATTGCATATATGCTGTGCAGTCCACCTGCACATACACTCTAAGTCTAAAGACAGACAAGAGTAGGCTGGATTTACTATGTGCTTAAAGAGCAGTAGAGTCAATGCAACAGCCTTACTGAACATGCACTAACTGCTCATGTGACAGAGAGGAGCTGATCAGCAGTTCCCAATACGTCAGACTCTGCATGCATAGCACATGATCATATTATCAGTCTATTGGGCATTTCTTGAAAAAATATTGGAAGCCATAAGTTGCCATTCCTGCACCATGTAACATTGTTTTGGTGAGTGACTTTTGTTTCAGCTGAATGTGTAGCCATTATCAAAAGAACCAGATTTCATTTCACCACAGGCCAGGTTCCTGGATAAAATGGATTGGACCTCGGTTTGGGGAAAGTCCATAGAATCTTACACAAAGTTTGCAAAAAAGAATTTAGGCCCCTATTGATATCCCCTTTCCTTGTTTTTTAGCTGTCATACGATGATGGGAAGGTGAAGGCTGCTCAAAGGACAGAAGAATAGCTGTGTAAAGGCTAATGCCAGCCCTTTATCAGAGAACATAATTACGAAGAAATAATCACTTTTGCCATATAAGTTAATGTTGATTAGTCCTCAGAAGAAGAACATTAATAAAGCTGCAGCCTATTTACTTGCAGGTTTTCTTTACACTTTCCTGGCACAAAATAGCATATTGAGAGAAAACAATGTAATGTCAAAGCCAGCTGGCGTTATCTAGTACAACATTTTCTTACTACTGTACCTAATGTCTAGACTTGCCTATAAGTCAGCAAAATGAAATAATGGTATCTAACGCAGCTGTGAATTTAATACTTGTGTGTAATAATTAATGCAGTTCAAATACAGCACAAAAATGTCATGTTATGTAAGTCCCCAATTTTACTGAGGCTCAATATCAAGACCTGGTAGAATATAGCCTCATTTTCCTAATTCTTCTTAACTCCTTGTAGGTGATTTAATATTAGATACAGTAAAACCAGCAGAACATTGTCATGTGCCATTTTTACACTTTGTATTTAAAAATAAAGAACAGTGGTATCACAAGATAGTATCCAAATGCCATCATGAGCACTAGTTGCTCTTACCAGGAGTGTCAGGTAGGTAACATAAACCATATGCTTTTAAGGAATAAGAAAACAGCATTTACCTATTGTCATCTATTTCTAAATATGCATTGTTTCAGGTCAATGTAAATACACAGTCTACAAATTTAAGCACGGAAATCCTTCCACGTTTTATCATTATATAGTTTCATATCAGAAACCACTATAGCCTGATTTTTAGAAAACACCATTTTCAAAACAACTTTTTGTAATCATTGATCTCAAACATCCACTAGGCATTTTTATTTTACACAGTTTCATAGTGGTGTTAAGGTAAAGATTTTGTCATCCTCTCATGAGCTATCCTGTAGCACCGACTGTGGAATTTCTGAGGCTACAGGGGTTGTATCCATTTGGCTGCCAACTGCCCACTTCACTCAGTCTTCCAGACAGCTGATCCTGTAATCTGCAGCTGTTGAATCCGTCAGCCTGCTCATAACCCTCCACGTCAACTAAAATAGACTGAACTGCAAACGCTGCAGTAGACAACGTGCATAAACAAACCCTCAAGAGTCAATGAAAACTAAGCTTTATGTTGACTTAAAAAAATATTTTTTCTCTGCTCTTCAAGAAATTCTGTTAAGATGTCCATGAAACTTACAGAAAGATGAAAGGTTGCGATATGTTGCTTTAAAGTTAGTATCAGTGAAAGAGAAGCTATACTGCACATTTCTGTTTCTTGATCTCACAGTAAAACCTCAGTAGGAAAAACAGATTGCCATTGAGTCTTATGACTACTGTACATAAAAAACTAAAATTTATGATTTAAGAAAACATCTATTTGGTCTTTCCTTTTAAGTGTATTTTAATTCCTTATAAGACAAATACTCCAATCAGATGTACAAATTCTTCTCTTCAGAAGAAAATTAGAATACCTGCCAAAGAATTTTCAGATTCTTTTTTTTTAAATGTACTTGAAAATTATGAATTAAACTCACTCTCTGCACTGGCTTTTTATGCTTATATATAAAGAGCACAAAAGAGAGGGGGTTTTATTGCTAAAGAAATAAAGATTTGCAAATATTCGGAAAGCTATT